ATTTTCCTGGACACCCTGAATAATGCCAGCAGCCTCATCAACATGACCTTCGATTTCATAGAGCTGAGCCATGATCCTGTTGTTCATTCCATTAAGAGTACGCATGTTACTCTCAACAGTGCTGATCCTCCGCATAGCGCCCTCAAGCGTACTCCGGAATGAGTCAATTTCACGCCTAACGGCAGACCGTGCGTGATCACTATTCGCAGGGAGACTGCGGATCTGTCTTCTGATGTCATCAAGAACTTGATTCAGAATTCCCGAACTCGCTTCGTACTGCTCAACACGGGATTTCAAGGTTTCAAACCTTGCAAGGACATCGTCATGGTCCCCATGGTGGCGTTGAACTCCGCGAGATAGATCCTGGACCTTTCGATTGACTTCGTCAATTGCTTCATGCCAGTCCTGCGGGGATACGGGCCCTGATGATCTATCGATCGCCTGTGACCCCCTTCCACTTTGCAGCCTCGACATCCGATTAGCAAGAAGGGTTTGCTCTTCATTAATGCCACCAATAGATTCGGAGGCCCACTTAGCAAATTTCTCGTGTTCAAGGAGAGCCTTCTCGAGCTTCAGGTTTAACTCCCTGAAATTCGCGTTCACCACGCTGCTGCTGGCCCTATCGGACGGTTGCGCGACAGGATTCAAATTCCATTCACCTGCTGGCGTCCGCATCCCGACGGTTTTCTCTACCGAGAACATCCGTTTCTCGAGCTTTTCCAAGTCCTTAAGGATCTCATCCTCGGAAGCAGCATGGCTCCTGTGGACGGCCTCACGATTCTCTTGAATCATCTGGCGAAGCCGATCAGTCGCGGCCTCATTGTCCTTAACAGATTCGTGAACCTCGTGGGAAAGTAGATTGATCCTCTGCTCCACGACTTCAGCCTGTTCATCGATGGCTTGCCTCACAATGGCTTTGCTGTCAGGAATAACTTCCCTAGCAAACCGTTGAACTATCATTCGCATCCTCCCGGCATCAGATTGAGTCGCAACCTCAGCTGCCAGGCGATCGACCTTGTCCTTCGTCTGTCGACTCTCGTCGCTCCATTCCCTTCGCATGGAACTCACTTGACCGTTCAGTAACCTGATTTGGTCAGCAAAAATATGGAACGCCTTCGCGACTGAGCCAGAAACCTCACCCCTCTCAAGCATCTCCTGGATGTGCAAATCAAACACCTCCTTTGCCCTAGCGTCACCTGATTCGCCGGAAGACTGGGATCTGAGGGCGGGAGGAGTCGATATCTCGATCCTCTCAGGAGCCCCACTAGCCCCGGCATGTCTTCTGGGGTCGTCTACGGGACAATCATCAATCCTGGATGGCCTACTCGGGGTAGATCCCCTTCTCCGGCTATCGCCAGATCGGGGATCAATGTTGGATGCACGTGACTCGGGGGTGGAGTGAATGTGAACATCAGCAGGATCGGGCATCTCCTCATCCTGCAGAGTCAAGCCCATTGGTGAGGGGCTAGCCCTCCTCGCCTTTGACCTATCGGTCTCAATGGCGAGAGGTGATGGCCTCTTCGCAGAAACACTACGTTCCCTGGCGGTCGAGCCCCATTGAGGTGTGAACTCGTTGCTAGACCTCAGCGTTTCAAGGTCACTGGTATCTCGCCCTAACGGGCTAGCGATCGACGGACGATCTTCGATCCCGAGTGCATCGGCAAGCCGACCATCTCTGGCACCTGTCCTAACGACATCGGCAGCCCGCTCAGTGATCCTCGGCGAACCAGTAACCCGGTTCGAGTTCACGTCTCTCTGATTCAACGGACCTCCAAAGGTAATGTTGGGAAAAGGGGGAACATTCGGGGTATCACCAATCGCCGGGTCCCCTCACGGTCATGGATGGCCTCCAATCCCCGAAGAACTTCCTGACTATCCCTGGCTCTCTCTCTCTCGCTTCGGGCGTCCCTGTCAACACGAAGGTCCCTGGCGGCTCCACGAGAGAGGCTCCTGGGCCTCGCAGCATCACGGATCCTAGCATTTCGGCGTGATTGGTCCTCCTCCTCATCCGCAAAATTGTAATCTTCGCCATCATAAGACTCAGATTTGGCAGTATTAGGGTTGGGCCTACCGGCATCAGATCCCTGTTTTGAGCTACTGCCCCAACCTGCGGTTGATTTCAACAGAGCATCGTATCCGAAGTCTGAGAATTTCCGCTCCTCGTGCTCATCAAACTGACCTGGATTTTGAGAACCAGTGGATCGACCCGAGATATCTCTCGGAGCCAAAACCATAGTCCCTGGTCCTTGCGGCCTGTCCTCAAACTCATCCGAGACCTGCGATTCACCTGGAACAAGAGATCTCGGGGGTCGGGTCGGCATAGCCTCCGGGTCGTCCGAATGGGGGCGGGCCATGTTCATCGCCATGCTGATGAAGTCGAACTGTCCGCGCCTGTGACCTGATTCAGAGCCGCTCCTATCGGAGCGAACCCTTCGTGTCTGCTCATCATCGGTGGCCTGACGGAAAATGCGGTCGTCTCCATCATCGGTGTACCTGCCACGGCTCCTGGGTGTGTCCCTACCGGGATCTTCACCCCTGCGATCCTGACCTGTCGAACCTGCTTCGAAATCCTCGTAGTCATAGTCCGGTAGGTCCTCACCTGAGCGGAGGCCCCCTAGGATGGCCTCCTCATCCACGACACTCCTTCGAGATCGTGGGGTCGACATAGAGCTTGTAGTTGATGGTCTCAAGCGCGTAGGAAAGTCCTACGGCTGATAACCTGTGATTCGGGCACGAGCCTGTGCCCAGGCAATGGGTAAGTTGGGGTAAACAAGCCACAAAAGAAAGGTTCCCCAAAAGCAAACCAATCCCCGGTCCCAAAGATCAGGGTTTCCCACACACCAGAGAACAACAACCAAAGGAAAACAAACCAAACAAGAAAAGGGTTAACCCGCAACCTTGGTCGACAACAGGCCGCACGACTGGTCCCTACCAACCTGGCGGCGGCCCGAGGTCTCTTTCTCCCCCGAGATGCCGTCGGTCGACGCAGGGGTTCGGCGACGCCCATTCGAGGCGCGACGGAACCCAAAACTTGAGCCAAAAACACCACAGGTCGGTCACTAACGCGACGTCCCTGATGATGATATTAACCATGGCTAATCACAATATATATTTTTTGGACCCTTTGGTGGACATCATTTAGGTGGGGATTCATGTCCACCAATCACTTTTAAGGTGGTTCCTTATTATACTTAATGGCCAAATTTGAGCCGGACTCATTCACCGCTCTTTAATTCAAAAGTTGGGGGTTCACCTATTTGACACACACACACACACACCAACAAAGAAGCAGGCAAGCCAGGAAGTACAGAAAGAAAGAAGTAGACAAGTCAAAGCAACAAGGCAAGGCAGGCACACACACACACACACACACACGTTCATTCAGCGCGCAGCGCGCGTGAGACGTGCCCCAAGCGATCGCCCCGTGCCTCCAAAGCTTCCCCCTGGGCGTTGAGAACATGGCCAAAGCCATACCGGAAAAATGTCAAAGAAATGAAAGCAGAAGTTAAGATCTAAGGGTGGAAGTACATAACCCTTGTTCATACCCCTTGGCTTCCGTGGTTTCCAACCCACTTTAGAAGGGGTATATACCCATTTTGGGGAGAGGGGTATGAACATCAGCAGGCCTTTCGGGTTCATGTGTCCAAGGGGCATGAACAAGCACCCATGATCCGGAGTCCATTTGCCATTCAGCTTCGTTGGCTATTCAGTTTCGCATTTCGCATGGGAAAAATGCTCAACCCAAACGTCGAATCGTCAGCAGCAATCGTGTGCCACCATTTTCCCCCTCAAGGTCAGGCGCATAGGCGGGCCAGCCCAGCTGCTCAGCAGCAGCATGGAACCCCTAAGGGGTTGCCAGGGCAAATGGTGCAAGCAGCCATGATTTGGCAAGCCGCGCTTTTGACCTGGGGACGGTTCGTCGCTTGCACAGCCACTCCAAGGCACTGTTCAAAACCGGTCGAAGGCTTGTGCAAAGCGGATATGGCAAATGCCGCCGAGGCCTCTTTGGGGGTACCGTGGCACGCGGTGCAAGCGGCGAAATGCTCCGGCGCTGGCCTTGTCCGTTTGGGTGCCTTTCTTTCCGACACTCTTCTCGGCCAGAGGGGCAGTGGAGTTCTACGGAGGTGCTGTGGCAAGCTCAAAAAGAAACTCAAAGCCGTAGGTGCCCCCAATAAATGGAACCAATCTGAACCAGTGCCATCCATGTCTAACCAAACCAACTTAAAAAGGACCCCTATGCTCAAAGCTCTCTACATCTCTCCTTCCACCCCACCTGGGAACTTGCTCCATGATCTTGCAAACAAGCGAGGAAACCTAGAAAATCCCAACCTGGGTGAGTGCTGCTCAGCGAGTGGCCGCGGCAACTGCGTGAACGCCTTAAAATTCAACTAGTACTGAATCGCTTCTGTAAGAAATCCCCCACCCCACAAGAGCATCACGCGTACGCGCAAAGAACTTCCGTCCAGAAGGTCGGAATCGCCCTCTGTTGTGGGCTTACTTCTGGTCGCGGAGGGGTGTCTTGTTCCGAACTCGCTCACCTGCCGAGACCTCTCCGTGAGGCGCAAGGTGATTGCAATGAAGAGAGAGGGAGCCTTCAAAGGCCCCCAAATTGAGGGGCAACGCTCTCAGCTTCCAGCGTCGCTAAAGCGTCTTTAGAATGGTAGGGTTTAGGGTATGACCCCCGGTGTGAACCGCCACTTTACGCCTGGAGAGCCATTGCTCGGCTCTCGGCTAGCAGTTCTTTTGGCAGCCGCATGCAGACCTGTGGAGTCCTCGCGATCCGCAGGCCTGAGCCCAGACGCTAAGCGGCGGCAAAGGCATGGCGACGGCCAAGTCTAATATAGTATGTATATTTATTTATTGTTATATATACACATAAATATAGCTCACACAAGGACACCAAGGGAGGGCGCTGGTTATATATATATATGATATACATCTAGATCTATCTATATATATATATATAAATACTTGTGTTTATGTATGTGACAGTATGTGTGTGTGTGTGTCATTTGCCCGGGGTCTGCAGAACTCCCGGAATTCTTGGGCCGAAACAGCGATCCAGGCGGTGCTTGTGGGCCCAGAAATATCTTCATTGGAAGGGCCAAGTGCGGCCAAACATCGACTAGGCCCCAAATCACCCACTGCCATCCTGAAGCGAGTCGCACTTTTGGTGAGCAAACCGCTCGTTTGCCTTGGTGGCTTCGCTTTCAACTAATCTATCCGGAAACAGGTGGAATGCACACAATTTGTCCAGACTCGCTTCGGGCTTGGCCCGATGCAGTCTGGTGCGAAGGTCTTTGCCAGGTCCCCCAAGAATAGGTGCGGAGAGCGATAGCCGCTCCGTCCCTTTCTGGTCGCGTGTCCTGGCTAACAACTAACATCTAACATCCGCGCCATTGATCTGCAGAGAGGCGAGAGGCTGGGAGTAAATCTTCGCGGTCTCGGCACATCAAGCCTTTACTTGACCAGGTCTCATCTGTCGAGTCGAGACCTTCCCGAAGACTAACGGATGCCTCCGGCTCGCTCGAAACGGGTTAGACGGCCTCTGCCTCCCTGACTTTGGTGCAATTTGCGTGGCGCGCGCCACAACTCATAAAATCGAAACGTTTAGTCGGCCTGTTTCAGCCAGACCCTTGACAGGGCCATTCCTTTTGCAGCCTCAGCGGTGGAAAATGCCGCCCAGCGCATGCCTTGGATGACCAAGGCAGTTCCTTTGCCATGCCCTTGCAAAGTGTGAAGGGCAAGCCTACGCGCCCAAAGGGGCCTTGCAAAGCATTTCCGGGCCTCGTCCTTATGGCACGCCCAAGAGGTTGGTCTCCTTTTGGCGACTTTATGAACCACGATAACTCCAAAAGGGAGCAAATGTCGGAGCAATACAAAACTAATGTTTGCACTGCCTACTTTGTTTGCTGTCCGCAAGAACGCGAAACAAACTCGTTGTGCTGCAAGCACAAGAGACCTTAGCATGTGCGGTGGGAACAAATGTTCCCCCAGGCAGCTTGCTGCACGGTTGCAAGCAAACTCCCAACCACCAGCAAGCTGACCCAGGCTTCTTTGCCTTACTTCAGTTGCGTGAAACGCCGCCGAAACACCTTTGTTTTGCAAGTAAGTTCGCAACGCACGAAACACAAACGAGTCTTCCAGCGAAAAGCCAGTTTCCTCGGAAGCAGCCAACGTTCCGTGCATTCGCTTATGCAACTCACCCGACTCAGGTTTGCAAAGTCTTGGTTGATAACCTTGTGAAAGAAACACACGCGTCATTGCCTGGCCAATTCACCTATCCAAAGTGATGTTTCGCTAGTAACCGACCTGCTAATAATGTGGGAAGAAAGCTGTGGCAAAATTGGAAGGCCCCACTTTGGAAGCGCTTGGCTCTACCATTCCCAACGCAAACCTTCAAGTGCCAGGGCTAATGTGATACAAGCAACATTGACGGGTGGCTGTGCGTCGAAACTCAGCTTGTTGGTTTCAACTTTGCTCTTTTCAACGAAATCTCGAAGGCGCTAGGGTCCAACTCGGCTTTGTGAGCCGGAGCTGCTCCATCTGCACGAAGGGGTTCTTGCCAAAGGTTTGAGTCGTGCTGGTCGTTGTCCGCGTCGTCGCGGTATGTGTGCGGGTAGCTGTTCTGGTTGAGGTGGCGGTAGTTGATGTGGTCTGCCCCGTCGCCTCGGATTCCGGACAACTCTCTCCCAAACCTTCACTTCCATTTGGGGCACGACCCCTGGAAAGAAGGACAAAAATATTTCCAGCGGTGATAGATTCCCTTTAAAACAGGTTTTAGAGAAGGAAAAAATGGCCATTTCAGCAAATGGAAGTTCATGAGCACTCCCGTGCACCTTCCACCGTGCGCATTCCCAAGCAGTCTCGAGCACTCCAACAAGTGCTCCCGAGCCCCGAAAACTCCCAAGCGGTCCTGAGCACGTTACGTTGCATCACTTTGTGTTACGTTGCATTGCATCGCGTTGCGATTTATTAATAAACGAGCAAGGAGGCAAACGAACGGACGGAAAGACAAACAAACAAACACGCTGACACATTGCATTGCATGTCATTTCATTTCGGCCCGTTACATTACATTGCATCGCTTTGTGTAACGTTGCATTACATTGCGTGGCATTACAGTGCCTTGAGTTGCGTTGTAATATGTCATATGCATACGTTGCGAAACCCCACACTCCTGACAACATCCTTCCAAAAGAAGGCCTTGCTGAGAGCCAGCTTGGGCTTCTGCTGGATGTTTGCCCACATCGCTTGCTTGCGCTGCTTGCGCTGTGTCTTGCGCTGCTTGCGCCGCATTCCTTGAACCGTGCTGCTGAGCAAGCAATTCTTCGGAGTTGCGTTCTTGCAATTGTCCGCACCTTTTTTTGTTTATCACTTAACAGGGATCCTTACATTATACACCTGAACATTGCAACTTGTAAATGGTTACCGGTGGTAACCCTTTATTTTGGTGTTGAAAAAGCCATGTTTCAAATGGTTGCAAAATGGAGATCTTTTAAGGAGCCCTGCTTAAACATTGAACTTATGTTGTCGCCTTTTCCTTTGCTTGCTTTTCACTTGGGCCCTGGGGGTTTGCCCGGGTTTCCTTTAGGCCTTTTTCTTGCTTCTTCCATTGGTTTCTGCTTGGCTTTTCCTTTGGGCTTGCTGTTGTTTTGCTTTCACCTTTTCTCGCGCTTGCTCTTCTCACGTTGTTTGCTTTTCCTTTGGCCTTTCTTGAACTGTTTCTTGCTTTTTCTTGGACTTTGTTTCTCGCGTTGCCCTTTTCTTGCTCCTATTTCTCGCCATGTGTTTGCTTGTACTTTTCTCGCTTTGCCCTTGTCTTGCACTTGTTTCTCAGCAGCTTTTGCGTGAGGTGTTGTCTGTCGAAATTCACTCATCTTGCAAAGGCAGCCCTTCAGGAGGCAAGAACTGGTTGGACCGACCGCCCCCGCATCGCAATGAGGCTCGCATCTGAGGGCAGGCCGCCCCTCCTCACAAGGTGGCTGCTCTAGATACCAGACATGATCCTAGGTCCTCCAATAGAAAAAGCTTAGAATAAGGGTACCCGAATTTTTCCTGTAGTCTATTTTAGTAGGGGAACCCTCCCTACCAGCCCCTGCGGGCTTGCTCCACAGGCTGGACTGGGTCCTACGGCGCGGAGAAGCGTTGGCGAACAGGCATCACACAAGTTACACTGGCTGCACCCGGCAAACAACCTCACCACGATCTGCCCGCTGGGCAATTCTCATGGGAGTAGCCCACTCCCGCCGGCGTTGCCGGGGTACCCAGCAAGCCCCGTTCGACCATATCTGTGTCGCCGGTTCGCGCCAACCGTATGCCGTCCGGCAAAAGAGAGTTGAGCAACTTTGGCGCTGGACGCCACCAACCCATTTCTGGCTCAAGGTGTGAATGGCAAATGAAACCATGCCACCCATGCCTGCCAAGCGCACGGGTGGAACATACATAACATAACTACTACTTTTGCATTACATTGCTTTAACTTACAATGCATTTCATTTCATTGCAATGCAGGCTTTAAATACACACAGCATTGCATTAACCTAAACTTGCTTTGCATTTCCATCCTCTTGCCTTGCATTGCATAGGCGTCCCATACGTACGTCCACACCTTTACGAACATATACGCATACACACGCATAGGAGGCCTTTTTGAAAAATTGATGGGTTTCCCTGGTAAATGGAATAAACCATGTAAACCAGGAATCGCCCTCTATTTGTTCAGCAAACCAACCCAAACGGACACCTATGTACACACGCAGTTGCACAAAGCCGACCTACAGCCATGTGCCCATCTGCCCATACGCATGAAATTCTGCATCCAGCCAGAGCCCGGAGCCCCGGCCAAGATGCTGCGCAAGCCTCGTACTTCTCGTCCTGCCGTGAGAAGCCCCCCCCCCCCAACGAGCTGCAGGTTAGAGGTGCCCCGCACTTGCCTCTTGAGACTTCTGAAACGAGGGATCTACTTTTTGAGCACCCCAAAATAGCCTTAAACCCAGGGGTGCTTCCTTCCTCCCAAAAGGAGAACCTTTGGGTTTGAGTCTATTTTGGGGTACTCAAAAAGTAGAACCCCGTCTGGAATTGTAAGGCGCTTTAAACAAAAAAAAAAAAAAGAGCTGGGGCGGGATTTCTCAGAAAAACGCGGAGGGCCAGAGGGCGACCAAGAACATGCGGAGGGCTGTTCGCTCCAAAATCTGAACCGAGCTTTGTCATCCCTCGATTTGTTTCGGGTTTAGGGTCTCTTTGACAAGCTTGGGAAGCCAATTGGCTTGGGCAAGGGAGCAAGAAATGCAGCAAGCTGATTGGATGAAAATCAAGCCAGGGAAACAAGAATGTGTGCTTCATTGCGACAGAAACAAGTTGGGCAGCTCAATTGAAGCACTCGAGTGGGCACGCTGCGCCACTGCTCTGCGAATCTTCTGTGACTTCCCTTGGAACCGCTCTCTTAAAACGGGCGGAGGGCTCTTATGCCCGTCGGCTTGAACCCCCGCTGCCTGCTTGAAAGGATGGTATCCGATGAAGTCGGATGGACAGGACTCCCAGCCTGGGTACTTGGTACCTCACATGCCCGGAGCCGAAAAGCCGCGAGCGCGCGTGGGGTCGAAGATTAGATCTTCACAGCCCCGAGCAGGAGCCGACATGAAAACAAAAGCATAAAGTCGGCAAGTGAGCTCACTCGACGGGCAAGCACCCCCTTTTCAACGTGCTATTTTGTGAAGTCGACTTCGGCTGCAATCAGGGTCAGCTTTTAAGCGCTTGGGAGTTTGGCTTGTTGTTGCGAGTTGCGCTTGCTTTCTTTGTGCTTGGGTTGGCCGTGCCTGGAAACGATGCTGCGGCACCAGTGTGTAAGCCTCTCAGGGTGTCCTTGCCAAAGGATATTCACGAAAGTAAAACTCGAACGGAGAAGTGAATTCCTGGATGGCCAGTTTCAATGTCCGGGCCCGGTCAAGTTCGGGGTTGGTTAAAATTCGGTCTGTGAGGCTTCGACCATTTTCCTTTTCTCAGGCCTTATGTCTTCTCTCTTCAACCCCTGTCAGTGGTCTATGCTAATTGGTGGGAGGGTAGCTGAAGTTTCCTTTCGGCCAAAAGAATCGCAACCTCGCGGCCATTGGTGCCATTGCGCCTTGGAACAAGACTCCTCCAAGCAACACTTGGTTGACGTTGGAAGCGGGGCAAAAATCCAAAAATTCTAGCGGCTAAGTGGCTGGACTTCCACCACTCAACCACAAGAAGCAAAAAAATGTGTTCAACAAAAAGTTTCCCAACAACAGAAAGCGGTTGGATCGGTGGCCAGGGATTCACAGCTCAAACACATCCCCGAATGGCGGCCAGGCTTGGGATGGCAATTTGGGGCGCAAGCCGCAAGCTATGCTCGCCACTAGGAGTCAGCTTGCAACCGGGACGCATGCGGCATCTACCAGCAGGTTCACGACCTGGGCGACACAACTCGAACGCGGTTAAGCCTAAGCAAGATCCGAGCCCGGAACACGAGCCAATGGCATGGCAGTCAACTTGGGAACCCACTTAAAGCCTGGCAAACATCCTTGCAAAACAAATGGCGGCCAGGAAAGGATGCAACCCGTGTCCCTTCTTAACAACCCCCCCGCCAAAAAAAAAAAACTATCCTCGCAAACAGCCCCACGACAAGATTGCATTCCATGAAGGCCGGCGAGATCTGAAAACCACCAAGAATTTGCAGGCCGAACCCTCTGCTGTATGAACTGGGTGCACCAGTTACCTGTGGATCACGCCCCCGCCCCAGCTCTTAATCTGGATTGAGCGTCGCCGCGCCCGATTTTGGAAGCCAGGGCGCAAAAACCCGATGCAAATGACCGTTGTTCATGAGGCACTGGTCCAGCCACATGTCCTGCGCAGGAGACGTCGCATACCCAAAAACTCCTCGAAGCCTTCGCCCTTTTAACGGGACTGGGCGAAAATTCAGCCCACGAGTCACAAGCTAAAATCTTGGTTGCTGTTGACCCCCGAAAGTTTTCACTTTTTGGAGGGGTGTAGTGTTGAAATCGCCACTTGATTTCAACCAAAAAGTTAAAAAAGTCTAAAGATCCGTTGCAACCAATAGCCGTCAAGAAATAGTTGTTCAACACGGCGAAAAAAGAAAACGCGCCCAAGGCCCCACGTTTGATCAGTAAACCAGGTTGCCCCATATGCCCCGGTGGCTCGGCACTTCTTCTTTTCCTTTTTGCCCAAATGAAACGAATGAAGCTCAAAGGACGTCAGGGAAATCCCATTTTGGGAGACCCCTTGGGATGCCCTCTCTGCATGCCCCGTCCTCGCCCCACTGGGAATCGCCCCAGTTCTTCATGCCCCAGTAGCACACCGTAGAAACTTGGATCCGCAGGAAGCGCTCGACCAAAACTCATCCCGCATCCCTCGCTCAGTGGGGGTTCCCTCCCGAACTAAAACCCGTGTGCCCATTGACGGGCCACCTGCGTGGAAATCATTCGCCCTGGAGGTCAGAACCAGCCCAGGGCACCACTCCCGGCGAGTTTTTTCCGCCAAGCCGCGCGTGGCCAGCGTGCCTCGTTGCGGCTTCAGTCATGGCAACTCGCCGAAACAAGGGTTTGGTCTCTTTCCGCCGGGGGGGGGAGAGGCTCTAGCTGTGCGAAACCTTCACGGCGCAATGTTGACATCTAGCTGATGCTTGCCAGGTTGGATCAGGTCCCCATTCACCGCAAGGTTGCACCGAACAAATTTCAATCATGAAGGCAAAGGAGCAAAAGCCGCAGTGGTCAAACAAGGCTGTCCGAAGGGTCATGCAATGCCGAAGCAACATTTGAACGCCGCTTGCAACGATTGTTGCTGCACTTTTTGGGCTGGGGTAGCTGATTGAGCGGGTGATGAAACAAAAGAAGCGTGACATTGGCCAATGGTCGAACTCATCCACCTGTTCCACCCAATTCAAGCAAGTAGAAGCGTGCTTTGAATGGCCGTGGTCATTCGGCCAAACCTGGGAGGCCGAACTCACTTGCCAAGGCAAAGTCCGCAAACCTGGGAGGCGCAACGACCACAAGGGCCGCATGTTCCGTCGGGCCTCTGGACCTTTCAAGCCGAGGGGCTGAAGGCCTTCTGGGAAAGGACCTCCAGAGGACCACGGAGACCTTTGGGACAGTTGTTGAGGTAGACCCCTTCCTGTCGCAGCTCGAAACCCTTTCACGCATATGGCCCTCAGGCGGAGTGCCCCCCCAAAAAAAATCGCAAGGGCTGCCACTGCGACGGCGCCTTGTCAGAGTAACATCTCTTGGAAGCAACGCTGAGATATCGCTTTCCGGCGTTTTCGGCATATTTTTCAGCCGAGAAGGGGAAGGGGGGGGAGAGGTTCAGACTTTGTAGATTTGTCCTTGGACCCAGTTAGCTGCCAGCACCGGACCCCATGGCCTGTCAGGCTGACCTTGGGGACCAACTCCACAAGGGCGTGGGGCTCTGCTGGATGACGTGCCAAGGCCAAAAGGAGACGTCTGGCTGGGGCAGAGCTGGCTCAAGAGCACTTGCAACAGCCAGGATCGCGAACCAGTCAAGCATTCCCACGCAGAGGGAGTCTCTTGCGAGAGAATTGTTCAACGAGCCGAGTGGTTTGACAGCACTAGCCGAGTCCCACTGAAAATCACTCATCAGGGATCCTTACATTCTACACCTGGGCATTGCCTTGAAAAAAAAGTAGTGTCCCTTGATTTTGGTGTTGAAGAAGCCAGCCATGTTTCAAGTGGTTGCAACATGGAGATCTTTTTTTCGGAGCCCTGCTCCTTGGAGAGCCTCTCACATGCCCCGACTCCCGACTCTTCGGTCCTTGAGCAGGCCTCTGTCCTCTTGCAGCCACAGCACGGGGACCAGGCGCTTCGGGAACCACACGGTGTCCGGGTCGGCCTTCACCAGCCAGTTGGCCTGCGGGAACGGCGACGACTCTGGGCCCATCGATACATCGGCTTGGCTTGCCTGACATGAAATGAGAGAAATGAGATGCGTCAAATGGATCGGTGATCCGTCTCACTTGGCCGGGTTGCGTGGAGGCTACGCAACAACAAGTGGTAGCTGGCAGTCCTTCAAACCAACCTCTGAAAGACCCGCATGCTGCAATACCAGCCTCCAACTCCAGCTCTGCCCTTGCAAATGATTTTCTGGTGCCGGGAGCCTTGTGGAGTGGGGCAAAGGCCCTCACTGCCCGGCCTTCAGATAGTCCCCGTCCAAGAGAATGGCGCGCCAGAACGCCAGGAAAACCCTGCAGTTGGCAGGTCGATGGCCACTTGAGCACCATGGCCAGTTGAGCAGCGACCATTGGTTTACAAACGGCTCATCTCATAGGTCTTACCATGAAACCTATTGAGCCAAGTGATAGAACTGTAGAACCTACTGAAACGACCAATGGTTTGGGCATCCCGCTCGCGTCCTGGGTCCCTAGGTGCCGAGCTGCTCAGTGTTGAGGGCGGTGCCAAACTGCCCCGCGTCCTCGCACACCTGCGAGGCCATTTGGCAAGCGCGTCCCGGGGACTTGGGACTCTTTTTCTCGTGTGGAAGTCGAGCGAGGCGAGGCTTCCTTGCTTTCCTTTGGCTTGCGCGACGCCCCTTGGTCCAAGCCCCTTGGCGCAGGGAGTCATTCTGCTTCCTTTGCTGGTGCACATCCGCGACTGGTTTTGCATCCCCTTGGGCATAGGGGGCTGGGTGTCTGCCTCCCGCTCGCACACCCCCCTTGAGCCCATGCAGCCACTCGGCCCAAATTTTTGACTCCGAGAGACTGATCCAATGGCCCCACATATGGTTGTGGCGGTCAAACCAATGGGATCCAATTTTGGGGTAGGTGCACCATCCATCTTAGTCTATTTTAGTGGGGATTGGGATGTTCACTGGGGGTACGATTTGGATTCTGACCCATGGCCATATGATCAAACGGGGCTCCTTGCCTTTGCCCTTCTGAATACTGAAGGGACCGGAAGTGGACACGGGCTCTTTCCAACAGTACTGCAGCCTGTCAGCCTCTCGCTTCAAAGCGAGAGGGAGACCGAAAAAAAAGTCCAGACTCGAGACCAGTTGTTTGCCACTCAAACGACTAAAATTTGGACACACGAACAAGCGGGATACGGAGGGAGTGTGGATATAGGGGGGATTCCCTGAGCGCCATTTCCCATATCAAACTTAGTCAAGGTGCATTGAGGGGAAATCCTCGCGTATCCCTGGTTCCCCCTGTATCCCTGCTAGTTGCTTTCCCTGAAAAATAGTCTTGACACCAAATCCAACATTCGGGGAACTCGGGGAGTCGGGGCTTCCATGTGGCCCGTACCCCCGGCAAACATCCCAATCCCCACTAAAATAGGTTCTAAAATGGAGGTGCACCCATTTTGGGTGACCTCCATTTGCTGAAGTCCCCTTGGTACCATTGGAAACCTACCAACCAAAATAGGATCCCAAAACGGTTTTGACCACCACAGCCACGTGGGGGGAGGTGACCTCCGCGCCTGAGAGCTGTTGATGAGCCGCGTCGCTAGGCCTTTGGCCAGGCGCAGCCGCTGACTGCTGTAGACCTCAGTGTGCTGGCGGCATCTTTCGGCCAGGGGCGCTGGGTGCCACACCCCAAACCGGCCATGCCCCGTTCTCCGGAAAATTCGGGCTTTGGCCCAACTCAAACCGCCTAAGAAGTACCACAAAAAAGACTCACCCACCTAGAGAAACCAGATACAAACGGGGGGATGAGATCAATGAGAGATTGGGGATGAATGGATTTTCCCGCTGGTAGCTCCTTTTTAAAACACGGCCAACCTGAAACCGCCGTTCTTGAGGGGCCCTCCTCACCCACGGCCGGCAAACACTTTGCTTGGTTTCCTCAAATAATTACATGCCACATGTCTGGCAAGCATGCTTGTGCACCCTGTGCGCTATATGCACCCCAGGTACCCTACGCACCCTATGAACCATGAAAGAAGTGAGCAAACATGACAAGTGGAACAACACGCTAAGAACAAACCAAGCAAGACAAATCAAAGGAAATGTAGACACAAAGGCACCATGTCTGAACAACCAAATCGGGGAAACAAATCCAAGGCAACATGTAAAAATATGGTGACATGTAGAAACAGCAACCCTAAACCCACCTCCCTGAAACGCAGGGCGGCACGCTGGTGCGTTGCCGTACCCGGGAACGAGTATGAAGAAGACCAGATCGACAGAGGTAGCCGGCTGTGGATCAAAACCAATGGTACCATTTTGGGGTAGGTGTACCACCAATTTCAGTCTATGTTAGTGGGGATTGGGACGTTCACTGGGGGTACGATTTGGATTTTAACCCATGGCCAGCTGACTAGCTGCTAAAACAAGCACAAAACAAACAGAAAAGCCACCTCTCTCTCTCTCTCACCTCAAGCCGGCATAACGCCTGCCCAACTGCGTCTTTTGAGGCAGCGACTGCCCAGTTGTCACAGGCGAAGATGCTGTACTTGCCCCTGGGTAGAAGCATCCGGCGTGCGGCAATCAAAATCAGGCGGGGCAAAGGTGTCCCTTTGGTGTGCCTTTTGGATGTGCTCCCTTTGATTTTGCCCTGATGGCCTCAGCGGGCACACAGTTTCAGCGAGCCCCAGAGTCCCAGTTTTGAGGACCAGCCTTGCTTCAACCAGCCCAGGCGAAGGCTTCGCCCAATCCAACAGCCGAACAGCCCCCAGGCATTCACCTGTGCCCAAGTCTCACCGTGTAGCCTCTCAGGAGCAGCCTCTCTAACCAGTAACCAACTTGGAGGCTGGGAAGACTCAGTTGAAGGGCCTGGAACTAAAAGGGTATCACCTGTGGCCATGACTAAATATGGGAACCCAAAATGGGAAAACCCACAGGTCAAAAGGTCGATTCGCTTTGAACAATTGAGAAGATCCTGGACAAATCAGGCCGTTGAAACCCTTCAGGAGCCAACCGCCGAAGCCAAACCGCCGAAGCCAAGAGGCTGGTACTGCATGATGGCCAGGTTGACCTCGCGTGTCTATTCCCTCATTCCCTGCCTATCGCACCAGCACAGGGCTGTGGGAAATGACCACCTCTGTGATACAAAACGGGTCTCTCAAAGACAAACCCGCCACATCAACCACAGAGGTGTGGAAAACCCCGAGTGAGCCCACAACCCTGCACCAGTCTTCGCACCCGCAAGGCCCTTCGGTGCAGCGACCTCGTAGGAGAAGGGCTGCACCAGCATGGTGCAGAACATGGAGGCATTCGGCGCAGGCTGCAGTGCCTGCGACCGTGAGGCAGTTGTTTTTCTTCTTTTTCTGTGGCTTCTCCAAAGATCAAACGCCGTAAACGGCGTTTCGTGCTTTGGAATGTAGTCAGCGCCCTGTTAGCATGGCATTCATGGCAAAAAGACCTCCCTTTCCCGAGAGCCACTTGGAGAGAAGCGCGGCCAAAGGATTCGAAAAAAAAAGGGACCAAGGGCGCTGGCTTGATGGAAACAGTACTGCCTGTGCTTTCCTTCTTGCCCTGCCCCGCTTCGCCGCCTTCGGCGCGGGCAAGGTGTACATCTGGAGTGGGTCACGGGTCCAGGGGTAAGGCCTCTCCTGCCAATCCCAACAGTCTGACAGCCTATGATCTGGTGGGAGCGTGCCCAAGGCAGGCCTGGACTCGCAGCCTCGCATGCCTGACCTCGGGCCGCCAGTGCTCGCCATAAACAGGCAAGAGGTTCTGTGCCAGGGACTCAACCTGTCTAGGCGAACCAAACAAAAATGCCGGCCCTCCAAAGGTCCAATACAGACATCAACCCTCTTACCTGTCCAGCTTGTAGCATGGACACGCCCAGTCCCCCAGTCCTCCCACTCGCAGGGCTGGCCAGAATAAACTCCATCCTGGCAAGGCCCCTTGACACAGACTTGCTTGCTCTCACAGGGGGTGCGGGCATGACCTTTTACCAAGCACCTTTTCTCAGCAATGTGCTTGCTTCTTACTGGGGCCCTTGGATGGCCTAGAGCACGCCAATGCTTGTCATGCATCCCGGAAGATGCAACGCGGCTCTTGAGCATGGCACTTGGCATCGTCGCAGGTTCTGCATTGGGAGACGTGTCAGCCAGGGTCTCGCACATCGGGGAAAAAAATCCATTCAGCCATGGGCCATGCCATGGCTGCAAAGACTTCCGCTCCGTTTCCTGAAGCTCCACTGCGAACAGACAGACAGCCAGGTTTTTCAGTGGGATGGCCACAGGGAGAGCCAAGGATGTGGTCGAAACGCGAAACGCCCTGTTCAAGCTTTCCCTCCATCCCCCCTTGCCTTGAAACGCCAGCTGGTGCTGAAATTCTTCCTTGCAGGCTCACATGCACGCGATCGGAATCTTGATGCCAGTCTAGCCGTCCACCCATGGCCGTCACAATCGCCCCAAGTCAAGACACTTGAAACCATGGCTCAAATGCCCAGCCATGGGGAAAGAAGGGCAGCCTCTTTTTGTTGCTTGAGTAAGGGGAACCCTTACCCAAAAAAAGGAAAGGGCACTGGGCAACAGAGTGGGCTTGTCCGCCGTCGCTTTGGCGTGCGCTTCAAGTCTTTAGGTGAGGCGCTCGAAAGTCTTCAGGAGGCAGGCCGTCTGATTCCAGGAGAAGCCCTGCGCGAGTCCAACATTTTCACGGCATGAGAGTCAAAGGAACCGGACAACCCTATCATGATACCATTCTCAAAGTCACCCCCAAAGATGAAGGAAACAACCGAATCCAATTTCTGACTTTGATCAGCCCTGAAAACGGTCCCCCTCTTATTTTACCATTCTCCCCTCACCCCTAGAACCGGTCCAAACTCATTACCCCAGCTTGCCCCCCCCCACGAAAAAAAAAGAAAGAGGGGGGAGCTGTCGGGCCTGGCACCGGGGGTTCCAGGTGCAGGCGCGCTGGCAGTGCGCCGCGGAAGCTGTGCCCGCAGGGTCCCACCAGCTGAAGTTAGACGCTAAGTCCTCGGCACGAGCCAAACCCAGCGCCAGGGAAAGCCCCTTGCGGTTCAGCAACTAGGTCCTCCAGATTTGAGAGGCTCGAATCAGGGTACCAACTCTTTTTTCGGTTTTGTCTATTTTAGGGGAACCCTCCCCAAAAAAGGGTAAAAGGGCACTATTGGGGGGACCTAGGCAAACAGTGGTGGGCAGTTTTTGCCAGCGTTGATCCACGGGCTGTGGCATCAACACGCGCTACATTTGCCTCACTTGGACAGTGACCAGCCCAAAAAAGGTGTACACTCTTTGGGCCACCACTAAAATAAAGGGAGAGCCACCAAGGAAAAAAGTGTAAAGTGTGTCCACGGGCTGAGTGAGTTGCTTTTGCAGCATTCTATTTAGCAACTTTTAAGCATAGGGACAGGGCGTCGAAAGTCCGTTTCGCTGACTTCTTTCCCTGATTCGTGACCTCCTGAAGGAGAAAAACAAACAAACAAAACGGCGTGGATGCTGCAACTGTGGGACTTCGCATGGCATGTTGAGGTGTACCTTTTAGATGCCACGGTTTGAAGCAACCCCTTGTCGCGGAATTGGTTGGCCACATGAAAACCCGTCCAGTACGTCGGAATTCCCCTCTTGAAAGAGGCATTTCTCAGATGCCCAGTGGCCATGGGAAAAAAGGGCACCCTTTTTTGTTGCTTGAGTTTAAAGGGGAACCCTTACACAAAAGAAAAGGAAAAAAGGGCGGAATCCACTGGGCAACGGAGATTCTACTAGCAGGTTGCAATGAAACCACTTTGGGAGGTTCGGAGGCTGGGGGGCCCGTCCCCCGTCCTTTCCCAACCGAGGCTCGTGGTTCACTATCAGCTGGCTGCATCGGTGCATGCCCTGCCACTGATGCACTGCCTCGAAGTCTCCTTTTCGCCGCACGAAGGCGCTGTGATTGTTGACCCTGGGCACGCCAAATTTCCAAGCGCAAATGCTCGCGAGACTTCGCAAAGCCAGGATAGACCTCTTGCCCAGCAGAGGGGGGACAAAGAAAAAAAATGCGTCATTGCCTCTACAAGTGTCCCACGACCTGGGCGACGCCTAGCCTATGCTAAGCCATTCAAAGACATGTGCCGCGCCATCCGCGCGCCATCCGCACCCCAACAGCAGCATAGCCGGCCAAGGGGCATCGCCGTATGGATGTTGGCAGCGATGCGCTTATGCAGGGCACATTCCTTCTGGGCTTTTGTCCTCCCCCTCAGGCGAAGCCACACGCGCCGCGAGCAAGCATGTGTGACATGTCTCCCTTCGGATTTGCCGGAGCCATTGTCTCCAGCGCTGTTGGCACGTTAGAGTGACAGGATACCAACCTCACCCTTGGCCCTCAGCACACACAAGGAAGGATGCAAGTGGCGGCCAAAACAAACTCGCCACTCCACATCACGCTGCTTTTACGACTGCCTGAATACCACACCAAAATACAAAAAGATACCGGAGAAAAAAAAACACGCCGCCGAGCTGCACGTGAACCCAGGTCATCTTCTTCGCTCTCCCTATGCCTGAAGGCCAGCGTTGAAAGTAGAGAACCCCCTTTCAAAAAATCATTTTGAAAGGGACACCTCACAAAAACCAACCATAAATCTGATAAGCGCTAGGGGCAGTAGTATCGCTCCATTTGCTTAAGGTGACAAACTGTCATGGCACTTTCCCGCTAAAACCCACAAGCAAATTCAAACGTATCAGCAACAGAACGGAAGCTTTCTATCAAATACAGCTTTCAGGAAGAATGAAGCCAACTCACGCAACCCGCTTCGGTCAAACTCTGGCAATTCCAAGCCGGGCCGGCCATTGGTGCTTCCAGCCTCTACGAGTTCAAGCAGAAATTGCGTATAGCCAAACGGAAAGTAAACATCGCCGAGTTGAGACCCCTCACAGAAAGAAACCAGGAACCGCTTGCCACGAAAGATCGGGGCAAAGGATGGGAAAGGCTATATTCCACGTCTCGCAGCTTGGAATTGACAAAAAAAACAATGAACATTCTCACAGAAACAAGGAACCGCACTTATTCAAAGGCTATATTCCACATCTCGCAGCTTGGAATTTACCAAAAAAAACAAAAACATTCTCACAGAAACAAGGAACCGCACCTATTGGAAAGGCTATATTCCACATCTCGCAGCTTGGAATGTACAAAAACAAACAATGAACATTCTCACAGAAACAAGGAACCGCACCTATTGGAAAGGCTATATTCCACATCTCGCAGCTTGGAATTTACAAAAAAAAACAATGAACATTCTCACAGAAACAAGGAACCGCACTTATTGGAAAGGCTATATTCCACATCTCGCAGCTTGGAATTTACAAAAAAAACAATGAACATTCTCACAGAAACAAGGAACCGCACCTATTGGAAAGGCTATATTCCACATTTCGCAGCTTGGAATTTACAAAAAAAACTATGAACATTCTCACAGAAACAAGGAACCGCACTTATTGGAAAGGCTATATTCCACATCTCGCAGCTTGGAATTTACAAAAAAAACAATGAACATTCCCACAGAAACAAGGAACCGCACCTATTGGAAAGGCTATATTCCACATCTCGCAGCTTGGAATTTACAAAAAAAAAACAATGAACATTCTCACAGAAACAAGGAACCGCACCTATTGGAAAGGCTATATTCCACATCTCGCAGCTTGGAATTTACAAAAAAAACAATGAACATTCTCACAGAAACAAGGAACCGCACGTATTCAAAGGCTATATTCCACATCTCGCAGCTTGGAATTTACCAAAAAAAACAATGAACATTCTCACAGAAACAAGGAACCGCACTTATTGGAAAGGCTATATTCCACATCTCGCAGCTTGGAATTTACAAAAAAACAATGAACATTCTCACAGAAACAAGGAACCGCACCTATTGGAAAGGCTATATTCCACATCTCGCAGCTTGGAATTTACAAAAAAAAAGGGCTCCGGAAGCTGCACGCTTTTTTTTTCTCCGAGGGCAGGCTATCCAGCAACTCTCCAGCAACCGGCCTCGAAGCTCCGCCAGCTTCCGCTTGGGATGGAGCACGTTGTCCTTGGCGTGCCAGTCCCAAGGTACCTCTGATGGCATGGCGGCGGTTTTGGCGGCTGAGAGACGACATCCGAAACTTCCGGTTTTGGAAGTGGGAAGAAAAATGAAAAATGGCTTCTGAAAAACCATGCAACCGGCTCCTCTCTTAATTTTGTTGCCCCCCACCCCTCCTTTAGATGAAATCTCAAAACTTGGAGAAAAAATGCCTTAGCGCTATTTTGGCGGTCTTACGGGCAACCTTAAACTAGATATGGCGGACAACCACGCCAACGCCACCTATTGCGCATAGATTGGTAAGAAGCAGAGAGAAGCACGCTCCAGGGGTCGGCGAGCGTGAAAGCTCGCTCAACTGTTCGGTTGGCACCAATCCTAGGGACAATTCGCACCTAGGGTGTCTGGAGTCTAAGGCTTCTGCTTGTCTGTTTTCCTCTCTCTCTCTCTCTGCTCCATTTCCGATGGAGACAGACAACAGCCTGGCTCAAAAGTCAAACCTCCTACCCACCAGACTGTCTCCAGCCTGTTTCTTTGCGCCCTTGGCAGGCCCGCTGTCGCAGTCCGGCATCTGGAAGTGGTCCCAGGTGTCCTAACGAAATTCCAACTCCCCGCCCTGCACAAAAACCGCTTTGTTTTTTTTTTTTTTGTCTTCCTGGTTTTTGCTCTTTATCTTCTTCTCCGCTGTGTTGGCACGTTCTTCTATCGTTGATGCCCTACAAAAACAGGTTTTGAGGCACCTCCATTCCGTTTTTTTTTTTTTTCCTCCGCCGTTTTGGCACTTTCTTCTGTCCTTGATGCCCTTCCGGGTGCTGAAAGGGGGATCAAAAGAAAGCCAAACCACCTGGCCTGCCGTCATGTCAGCATGCTTCGACCACAAGCGGATGATACCCAATTTTTAGGCCACGTCTGCATTCGGACCAACGTAAAACCGAAGCGTCCTCACTTGAAGAGAGCCGTGGGTAATTTCCCGTGGGCTCATATGATCAGACCAACGATACCCTCACACTGAGACATTACAGCCAGTCAAAAGACACGCCAGGTCACCAGCTGCAAGCCTTTTGCCACGAAATCCAGCCTGCAGATGGAACTCCCTCCCGCCTTGACATCGTTGCCCTGGGGGTCTTTGTGCCAGCCCGCGGGCGCCCATAACTTGCTCGCCTAGCAATCGAAAACGAGACGCAACTGGATGGAGGCTCCAGCCCAGTCTCCTTTCCATAAGCAGCTGGGCCAGCCGGCAGCCGGGGATGGGAAGGTGTCAAGTTCAGTCTTGCTGTAGGGATGAATAAGATTGCTCTTGCGGGCAAAGCCCTGCAGAACAACCACTCTGATGCAAAATGGTGTGGACAAACATCAAATGCAGCAGTATAAATCAGTCAGCACAGCCTCGTTGACTTACGCTTCCAGTTTGGGGGATCCAAGAGCGGGTTTTGGATTCCTGGTCAAACCCTGAAATAGGCTTTCTGATGGGAAACCACCTCGGCTCGGCGCCTAGGCATGTTCTAGTGCAAGGGTGTCCATTGGCTAAAGATAAGGTGATAAGGCCTGCCCTTTTGGCAATGTTGACTCAAGAGTCATCAACCCTCCTGTCTTAGAGGGCATATGAGGGCATCCTTCACCACGGTGTTCCACAGCTTCTTGCCTGAAACTCTGAGACACAGCATCGATCAGATGCGACATGAACGTTTGCTTGCGTTCCAATTGCCCCCCCCCCAAAAAAAAAAAAACGGCCCATCAATCTGCAAATCACTTTCCCCTCGTTATTAGAAGTTTGAACCCCTATAGCTTTCAGCTATCTGGGGGGTCTGGGGGGGAAAACCCTGAAGAAAAAAAATGGAAAAATGAAGAAACACACGGCGCCTCCCCACGGAACTTTGGCAGGCTCGGCCTGGCAGCGGCTGCCTTTTGACAAAGCGGGTCAAAAGGCAACAAAGAAATCAGTCAAGACCCTGGGATTTTGGGAAGCGCATTGACATGTGCAATTAAAAACATAAATGAATCAATATGTATGTATGTATGTATGTATGTATGTATGTACGTACGTATGTATGTATGTATGTACCGTACCGTACCGTACCGTACTGTACTGTACTGTACTGTACTGTAATGTAACGTAATGTAATGTAATGTAATGTAGGGTGCTGTAATGTAATGCAATGCAATGCAATGTAATGTACTGAAATGTAGTGCAATGTATGCATACATGCATGCATGCAGGTATGTATTGGGTTCTTTGGCACTCATTTTGAAAGAATCAAGAGTCCCCCTATGTACCCCTCATAACGAGTTGGTCCCCATTTGCAGCCGGGTGCATTTGCAGCAAATCCTGCGGAGGGAATGCTGCGCTGGTGCCCCTCGGGGCGCAACCTAAGTCCCACAACTCTCAGGCCCATCTCCTTCGGCCTGGCACCAGCGCATAGGTGTCCTTTTAGGTTGGAAATGGAGGGGTTTCCCCGGTAGATGATTCATCAAACCACCAGGGAAACAGGAATCGCCCTCCATTTTTCCGGCACAACCAAAAAGGACACGATGCTTGCGAGGCTTAGGTTTTCATGGTTTTCACTCAGCGCTGCCACCTTCGCACAGCCGGCTGCGAACCCCGACTGCCGGCTGCGAGCCGCGCCTGATGAAGATCAAGCCGGCCAGCCCTAGGAGCAGCACCGACGCCACCAAGGAGCGCCACAGAATGATCCCATCTGGCAATTGAGATGGCTGTGAGCCGCTCAACTTCCAAAGACGCCGCAAAAACCATAGCCAGACCCAACACAGGACATGAAACCAGATAATAATAAGAAGAAAAAGCCGCTCCGAGCTCCCACAGAAAACCTCCGCCCAAGAAGTGCGAGCAGTTGCTCGACTCCGCTTGCTTGCATTTGGGGAAGCCCCGGTGCACGAAGCAATCGCCGGGTGTGCGGCGGTGGCACTCGGAATCGAGCTCGCGGGACAAGCGATCATCCTGAGCGGAGAAGCCGACAACCTGAAAGTTGGGGAACAAACATGGTCAACCCACTTGGTTTGCGAACGTCGAACCCTTCAACATCAAACATCAGGGCTGCCCGAGCACCACTGCAGGCCCTAGTCAGCAAGGCAATTCGCTGTGCTTCGCTGCTTGCCGTGGCACCTCGCCGGAGTCGCTTGCCACTTCCGACGCAACGAAGAAATAGCCCTCCAAATGCGGCGGGCGCAGTTCCAGGCCCTGCCGCTGGAATGGCATGCTTGTTTCCCTTGGGTTGTCCCCTGAGGATGGGGGGGCCAATTTCATGTTTCCCTGGGTCAGCACTGCGCCGACATTTGCAGAGGTCCGAGGTCAGCAAAACGCTGGGAGGCCTGGTGAATCAGATGACCATAGCTTTCTATGCCTAGCTTGAGAAAGGGCAGACCGAGCGCTGGCTTTCTTTGCTAAAAGTCTTCATAGGTATCGCCCCCCCCCCCCCCCCTAAGCTCTTGGGGACAAAGAATGTCACAAGAGTCACACTCGAAACACGGTATTAAACTGGCCGTAATCCCAGAACCATGCTTCAAGAATTCAGAAGCCGCAGATCTCCGCAGGCGATTTCTGGCAAGGGGACTGCCCCTTAACCTTCATCAATCCCCGAATCGGTTTTGAGCACGTGGCTCACAATGGCACTCCAAGCAGGCAGAGCGCAGAGCATGCCGATCCCAGCCAGCCCGCGGGCGCTAAATGCCCTTTTTTTCGGGATGGGGGGAACACATCGAAGAATCTGAAAAACTTCCCTGCAACATGCCACCTCTGCTTTGGATCTCTTTGGAGGCAACCAAATCAATGGCCCCCCCAAACCAGCTATGCCAAGCCCAAGTCTTCGCTCGAGTTCATATCAAGTTCATCCAGAAGGCCCTCTGACCACGCATACGCCCAAAGCTTATGGAAATGTCGCCGGCTGGCTGGCTGAGTGACGGCAATACAGCCTAACGAAAACCAGCTCTCTACAATTCTACTTTCACCCTACCTGCAGGAAACTTGCTCTGAGCCCTAAGCGAGGGAACAATTTAGGGAACTCAGAGGGTCACCTTGCAGGAAGCAATCAAATCTCAGCCCAAAGGCTCCGCCTCTCGGAGTGTGCGTGACTCGGCCACGCAAAACGTCTGCTCCTCAGAGTTGCACACCGCAAAGCCTTCTCAAGGAAAAGAGCATCCTGCGTTCGCGCCTCCAGACCATAGGTAGCCTTTGGGAAAAATAGATGGCCCTGGCAAATGGAACAAGACTCATCTAAACCAGTGCCATTTATTTTTAGCTATACTAACATGAAAAGGGCACCTATGCTCAGCTCCGTCCAGAAGGTGCGAACATGCCTTCGTTCAGCTGGGCTTAACCCTTCTGCCAATCGCAGCGGAGGGGAGGCCTTTTGCAGAACGCTCCCCAGTTAGGTTTCGTCTCTTTACTTACGGATATGATGGGATTGGCGCATCTACCTGCGCCAAAGACAAAAAGTTGAACCTGGACCCTAATCATCTGGGCCCTCAGATCCCCCACTAACAGTGACTAACCTTTAGTGGGTTAAATACGGACACTACCACTAAACACGAACAAGCTAAAAAAGGCCAAGGGGACCGGGAGCCACCAAGTTTTGCATACATCCCCCCATGTCAAGATACGGCGTCTACGGCTCCCCCGCTGGGCTCCCACTCCCTCAAGTGGCTCCCTGCCAAGCCGCGCAGGCACCGCGCATAGCGAGCCAAAAGAACCCGCAGACAGCTCGCAGCCAGAGGACTACAGACTTGGGCCGAGACGGCGATCGGGGGCATCTCCCGGCTCTACAGCCTGGGCTCCTTAAAGGAACAGCCGCTGGACGCGGCTAAGCACTCTGTGCAGCCGGAGATTTGGATGGTGCTTGCGTTTCTGTTTGCATTTGGTGAAGCCGACTGCACCAATGCAAACGCACCACACGCACTACACACACACACACGCGCATGCGCACACGCCATGCGTTCAAGGTCCAATTTTCGCGCCTTGTGAGCCTACGATTTCTGCACTGGAAGGCCCGAGCGCGCCATGGATCAGTCCCGAAAGTGCAACATATTTTGAGCGGAAGGCTGGGGTCAAGTGCTAAGGTTGAAACGTGTGCCGTTGACCAACCTTCTCAAACTTTGGCTGGTGAGAATCATTCAGTTGAATGAGAGGTCCAGCAAGACCCAGGAGCCGAATGTCAGCACATGCCTGCAAGACATTACGGCCCGCACGCATCCCACTCCCTTTCTACAGCTAGGTGCCTTGTTGAGGGTACTGCCGCCAGTGACTGCGATGGGGGGGGTTCCCCGAAGAAGAGCAGGGATCCTTACATTATACACCTGAACCTTGCCTTGTCACTGCTGGTTTCCCCTTATTTTGGTGCTGGAAAAGCAACATGCTTCAAAAATGGAGATCTTTTAAGGGGCCCTGTTCAAACAAGTTGGGAATTGGAGGCTGGTGGGCACCACTGGGCACTGGTTGCAACATGTTCAAGTGGTTGCAAAATGGAGATCTCTTAAGGAGCCCCGAAGAAACTGAAACACTCACCGCCCAATATGAGATACCCCTTCCTGACGTCAAGCCCTCCCTCGATGTCCCCTGGCGGAGCCGGAGCCTCTGCATGTTGCCAGGCCCACCCGACAAGTTGCAGCTCGGCCCGGAACCACATGGAGCTGGGGCCAATAGGTACCCCAAATGGCTTGCCCTGGTAAAATGGGAGAAGAAAAAAAAGCGGGGAAAAAAAAACAGCAGTCCTCCGGTGGTAAACCATTTTGACCCATACCCACCATTTTCGCGCGCGAGCGACCGGATCGACCGGTTCGATCGGTTTCCGTCTTGCATCGGCTTCCCCAGGGCTTTCGAAGCTTCAAGGCTTGGGGCCGGCGCCAGCTGCTTTCGAAGCTGCTCGTCGGGCACAATCTCCTCCTTGATGATCTCCTTGACCTCTCGTGTTGCACAAAAATCCCGTGACGCACTTGGTAGCAACCCTCAATCATAGGTGGCCTCTCGGAAAAATATCGATGGCCCGGGCAACCTCTAGCACAAAGAAAATCCCGTGGCCATAGGTGGCCTTTTGGAAAAATCGATGGGTTTCCCTGGTAAATGGAAGAATGCCCATCTAAACGAGGAAACCCCTCGATTTTTGAAGCAAGCCAACCAAAAAGGACACTTATGCCCGTGGCACTTGTGGTAGCAACCCTCAATGTGAGCTGTCAAAATGTGGGTTAGGTTGCAAGGTGGTACCAACATGGCAAAGGTGTAGGCCGTTCGCACCTCAACCGAGCTAGAACCATCTACTCAAGTGGCCAAAGAAGGGTTCAAACGCTTGGTGGGGGGTGGAGGGGTGGTCTTGGACCCCCGGAAGAAAAACTGGCTTGGCTTCGGCATTTGCATGTAGAAGCCCATAGCAATTGTTCCAAGGGTTAGGTCTAGCTTTGGGAACATAGATGGCAAATAACTTGGGGCAAACTGAAAATTCAGCGCCGTGTGGTTCAAAACAGGCCAATAAAAAGGCAACCATGTTCCAGACAAACGCTGAAGATCGACTAAAGCCCCTTCTTCACACCCGTCTCGCCCTTCAGAATGGGAAGCCAGAAGCAGCCACTTCTTTCTTTCATTTTTCTCGGGGCCATGTGCGCACCCAAATCAAAACACGGCAAGTCGACCCGATCTGGGTGAACCCAGATTTGTCTTGGGATGTCTACGTGCTTTCCGTGAAAAGATGGCCCACCTCGCACAGCAAAACCCAAGCGCTGAACCACCCGAGACATCCCCACCGAGCAGGTTACAGGCATCGCAGAACGCGCCTCTAACGACTCGCAAACACACAGTGCATTACATCCGTTCAGCGCACTGTCCTTGCACGGCAAACACTCCAAGCACGCGAGTCATGTAGTTGATCTTCATCCTGGCTTAAGTTTGCTTAAGTCTTTTGTGCAGACACCACATGTTCCATATGTGACACCATACGTTCCATAGACGTGCCAAACGTCCAGCATCGCAATGGAACGTAAAGCCTTCTCTCTCCCAGCGAATGTCTGGCCTCGATACCAGCCTGGCGGACGCCAAGCCGGATGGGCGGAAATTGACATCAGCCTTGTCTCTCATTGGGTTGGTGGCTTGGATCGGTGCATTGCTGGTTTCAAATCCCAAAGCCGGTCATCTAGTTTGAATCCGTGGCCTCTCAATAAAGCAGAGGGAAGCTGTCAAGAGACGGCAAGGTGACGTCCCGTGGGACGCTATGCACCGAACCCTCCAGCTGTAATACCAACCACGTAGAAAGGTGTATACGGACGATGCCGTTATAGCCGAACCCGTGTAAACGTTGTAAGGGAGAAGGAATGATAGTTACAACAGTGGTCCTGACAAATGCAGCGCAAGCGAAGTGTTTTCCGCTCTCAATGCCGATCACGTATGAATGCAGCTACACATCAGATCTTGAACCTCAATTGTGTCTTGAGCCAAATGGCGATCAATGGAACTTGGTAAGCAACACCAACACAGACCTCAGAACAGCTTCCCAATTTAGGCACGGGGCCTAGAGGGTTTTAACATCCCCCATTTGGGTCGCATTGTTCATCATGCGGTCCAAACACCACAAAACGTTCCACTGGCCACGGCTTCAGCTACGAAATCGTGTCGTGCATTCTTTTACTTGCTATCGCTACACCGTTCATTCGTTGTGAAACATGCCGGGTTCGATTGTATGAAAAGTGAAACATTCATCCACCAATCGAAGCGCACTCCCATATGCAGGTGTATACAATACACTATTGTCACGTCATTTGACCACCAGTGAACATCCCAGCTGCCGCATTTGCGCATCGCGCAGCTGTCATCCATGGAAATGGGTTGGCCGCAAAAGTCCAACAGAGGCGCCTGCTCGTAAGCAATCTGCATATCTCCGGCAAATAAAATATCGGTGAGCAATCAATGCAAATCATATCCATTCCAGATACCATGGACAATGCATAAATAATGAAAAGGATATCATCCATGAGGTAATAGTTCCATCCATGAATATCCAGAGTGTCATAGTCATTGGAATATGTAACAATGTACATATCCAGTCATCTTGGACACATGAATTCATATCATGACATAAAGTCGTTCCATCGCAATGGTGTCGATGAGATGCAAGCAACGGATGGGGACTAACCCACATCGTGCCGCAATCAGCATCTTCACTACGCATACCTGTCTCCAATGGACAGTCTGTGAGTGCGTCGACGGAACTCCTCGTCCAAGTTCTTCTGGGCTTCTCGTGCTCGGACACACTTCTTGTTGTGATCCTCTGGTAACCAGTGCCCTTTCCGAAGGCACCAATCCAGCAGAGGTGTGTCGCACTTGTTCGGGTCGATGGCCGAGATGATGGCGCTCACGTTGACCGTGTAACCATATTTGCCAAGGTTCAGGCCATCCCTCACGAATGATATATACTTACAGTTGAAAGCCAGTGAAAAGCATCTGAAAATAATATCACCCACCGGGTGCACTCGGTCCTTGACCAGGAGCTTCATTTCGTCCTTGGTGACATCGAGGATTCTCGCTGCAATCCACAGCTTGTAGAATGTATATAGTCCCTCGCATTTGCACACCATCATACGAATATATTCTTCACGCTCCTCAACCGATCGGAAGACTCTTGCCCGAACATTCTCCGATTGAGAAATCTTCAGCGCTGTTGATGGCAAAAGTATACCTTCCTGATCGTGCTCGGTGATGTTGGGGTATCTCTTGAAGTCATTGTGGTAAGGGCAGCCCGCCCTCCCCTCGAGCGTGGCATTCATCGTTCTCTCCTCACCACCCTCGAACATCCCCCACATCTTGGACATCTGGAGTGCGATAAACCCTGCCATGTACTGAGCCTCACGCGGCTCATCAAGGCAAATCGCCATCCGCTGGGAATTTATAATATCCCGTGACGCCAGATCAGTGTCGCGGTAATACCAACCGCTGTCTTCCTCTTCTGACGCATAGCCGGATGTATATCCTTGCGTGTCCATGTCGTCTTCTTCTCCCGGAACTTCCTCCGCTTCGTCATCATCCTCCTGTGCCGCCGCATCGTGGTTGGCTTCTTCCTGTGCACGCCTGGCATCTCCCGAGACGTTGGGGTTTTGGTTGTCCTCCTCATCGTCGGAGTTGATGTGGATGTAGTACCTCCCGGTGGAGATCAGTTGCGCCTCACACTCCAGGCATAAGCAGAAGCAAGTGGGGATCGCGGTCGCACATGACGGACATATCCGGCACCTCAGTCCTTCCCATGTCTCATCATTCAGGATGACGACTTTGCTGATTTCGTCCCTGACCTCGTTGACCTGCGCATTGAACTCCTCCATCTTGTTGTTCCGATAGAGTTCGCATGCACGATCAACCATGTCTATGATGTAGTGCAGATTATCGGCACCTGTCTCTGTCTCAGGCATCCTCTCGCTGATCTTTGCGACGTTCTGGAGGAACATCGCAGCCGACTCTTGGGATGAGTTGACGAAGCCAGGGCAGATCTCGTTCTCCACACACTTCGAGTACGCTCTCTTGACGTCAACGTACTCCAGGCGTTTCCCTCCGTTGCTTTTGCCAATCCAAATGGACTTGACCTCATAGAACGGGATCACGTCAAAGACCATGAATGTCCCATTTGCCGCGACTCCAGCTCCATACCGCGCGAGGGTTGCACTGGGAATGTAGATGATCGCAATCGGATCCCCCTTCCTTACGTTCCGTAGCGTCACCTTCGTTGCCACGTTCATCTCATCCCATGGGGCAAACGCTC